ACAATGTAGCCTTTGACGGGAGCGCGGCGCCGCGGGAACGGGCTGCTCCTCGCGTTATTAAAGCAGGACTCTGTCATTTCCGCGAGAATGATAACGAGCAACAACAGACAACAATGCGCTTCCTGTGGTTTTACCAAAATACGTTGTCAGTGTGAATAACGCTGGTGTCAAAGTAGTGATTTGGCAAAGGCGCGTGAATAACATCTTGTTTCTACAGAGAAGCGAAATTAAATGTTACGTTGCTTCCGTAATTAACTGGTAGTGATGAAAGGTCTAGTGGAAAACAACCCCTTCTCACCTCGTTTCGTGCCCCCCAGTTCCCAGCGCCGCGTCAGCTGAGCCTGCCCGTGATGTGAGCCCGTCCCGTTTTTTTTGTTGGAGATGCAGCGAGAGCACGCGAAGCACCGCGAGAGTTGGAGCCGCGGTTTCTGCAGAGTGAGCTCATGAGTGGAAAATGTACTTTTCTGGGTCAGTCCCAGCATAACATGTCTGTATTCGGGGATGTCGCGACCCTCCTGCCCCCCCCCCCCGCCCCCCCCCGCAGGAGCAGCAAGCCGAAAATAACCCGCTGTACCTGCAGAAACAAATGTCACCCTCACTCACAGAATTGGACCAGAACAATGAGGATGAGGAAATGCCACTGCCTCTGGTGCCTCAGACTGACGCGGTTAAGATCCTGTCTTCATCCTGAGACATCAAGCAACACACATACTTATATCTTTGTGAGGACACTCGTTAACATAATGCGGCCCCTAGCCCCCCCACCCTGACGTTACCCATCAGAACTAAATGCCTAACATAGACCTAATTCTAACCTGAGCCTTAAAACAAAGTCTTAACCCTCAAAAAGGTGTTTCACAAAGTGAGGACCAGCCAAAATGTAGCGAAAAATACTTTTTTGGTCCTCACTATATATCAAGTACAAGAACACACACAAACACAGAGTATCACAAAAATGTGAAGGAGATTGTCAGGGACCAAGCAGTAAGGCAAAGGACACAGCTTCCAAAGTTCAAAATAAAGGGCTTTTTATTAACCCTAAAGTAAGAAAAATACAAAATTAACATCCATGGACCAGGAAACAAGGTAACTCAAAAGAAAAGGTAAACATATTTACAATACAAAATGAATCAAACGTGCATGCTCATCAATCAATTGTGTATGTCTAATATAAATTACCCACCCAAGTCCATGGCTGGTGGTGGTTTAGGTCCTCACATGGTGAAGGCCAGGACTGAGGCCTTCACAGAGATATCTCCTGATATTTACATATCATATAACCTAACATTTCATTGTTTATAAATGGATTGTATCACTTTTTATAGTGTTTATTACATTTCATTATACAAACTCTGTGCAGAATCATAGGTTAAGGGTGTGGTAGACAATGATGGAAGTCAGGTCCTTCACATTGTAAAAATACAATAATACAAGTAAAAGGCCTTCAAAGTCTAATTACATACAGAAGTATTAGCATCAAAATACTTGAAGTACCAAAAGTAAAGGTAGCATTCAGAACAGCCCGTGTCACATCGTATAGCATATTATTGGATTATAATATTTCTGCTTTAATGTTCATTATATGTTAATGTTGCAGCTGGTAAAGGTGAAGCTAATGCTAACGTTCTTATAATGTGAAGTACTAGGAAAGTCTTATGATTATACTGTATTTTGCTTTAGTTATCTGATTCTGAAAAGGAGCTGAAATGATAAAATTCGTGTATTTTACTAAAAAGTACAAGATTTGTCTCTGAAATGTGGTGAAGTCAAAATATAAAGTGGCAGAAAAAATACTCAAGTACGAGTACCTCATAATTATACATAAATACTGTACTTGAGTAAATGTACTTAGTTACTTTTAACTGCTAACAGTAGAAGTTTTAAATATGTATTGGACCACAGTGGCACTAGCAGTGAATACTGATCCACAGTTTTATATTCAATATGTACCAGATATGAGTATGTGTGGGGATACTGCCTGCTAGTGTTTGTCTCCTCATGCAGATGAGGGGATTACCTCGCACCCTTATGAAAGAGGTTTCTCTAAATCTCTTTCTGCTCTGCACATTTGTGTCAAATTGAAACTTCTGGTTTTTCCTACATGATAATCTGCAAACTGACGGAGTTAGAGATGACATAGCTGCAGAGCAGGTCTTTGAACATGAGTCCATGCTCCAGATTTGACAGGGTTTTGGGGGGTTCACTGAAGTTCACTGCTGAGATTTAAAATCAGTGAGCCTGGAGGACATTTTGTTGACAGCCTATTTTCATACAGTGAATTTAAAATGTTTGTATCACATACTGGCAATCAGCATCTTCAGCGCATCGACTGTCAGAGATCAGCACAATTCCTAATGTAGTCAAAACCCGTAAGTGTCGCTCCAACATCGCCAACATTCAGATTGACTGGGACTCACTGTCGTTCAACAATATCCTGACAGACAGAGCTGTTAAAAAGCAGATAAACTCCAGCCACCAACTAACGGTTAATGTGTGCGGTACATGTTCTCTAATGCATCACGTTTCTGACAAATGACAAAACTCCGAAAACTAAACTGCATTCTGCTAAACACCTGCTGTTTAACTTCAGCTCCTCAGTGCCAGAACCAGTCTGAGGAGAAAAACGCTTTTGAACATGCTGTGCCCCCAGAGAACATGAGCAAAGGCTCTGTGTAATTATACATATCTTATCTATTCAACAGTCTGGCAACGACTCCCCCTCATGAAGCTGACCAGCCTCAGCTTTAGGGAGGTGTTGGTTCACTTTGGAAGATACTGATTGTGCTGTTGCTGAACTGTACTGCGTTATACTAATAGGTGTTTCTGTTGATATTGCTTCATATTAGAGACATTTTGTAATGTGTAACTTCTGCTTTATTCAAGCAGTAATGTTTTTTTGTTTGACGTTTCTATACTTCTGTAATAGTACCGCAATGTACAGCTGGAGTAAGAATGACACAGGTGTGTTCGGCCATTGGGGTACACAGATGACAACTGGAAAACCGCAGGTATTCTCACACTTCTCACCAGTAGTGCACATGAATAAAAGATGTGATTGGACCGGGGTCTTTACAGTGTGAACAGCTACTGTCACTGCAGCCAGTAGAGGTCAGTAGAGTCCAGGTGAAGTGGGATTCGACTGACAGTGAAAGGACATTCACAGAAGAGCTCTTTGACACCTTCCCTTTAAATGTTTAATGTCTAGGTAAACAAAAAGGCAGGGGTTTGTGTCTTACACATGTTTATTTCTCTAAAGAAACAGCAAACCTTTACAAAATATATAAACTATTTATTTTAAACTTAAAACAAGTTGAGTGTCCGTATATGCAGTTTTAAGTCTGAGCATAAATATAAGCATAAAAGCATGTACAAGGTTCCAATTGTGTGTTTTATGGTGATCAGACTGTTGGATATGTGTGTGTCTACAGGAGGTCCTGCTCCACCCACACAATCTTCTTCTGCTCCTCCAGTATTCGGTCTTTGATGACCTTGATCAGGTCGTCTGTCCCTGCCCAGGCCTCGGGCTCCAGGCTGGCATAGAGGCAGGGAATGCCCTCCAGCTCCTTCTCCTTAGCCCGACACAACCTCACAAACTCGTCCTCCGACTCCATGCGCAGAGGCAGCTTCCTGTGTGGACAGGAAACAGGAAGGAAGCACCACTGAGGCAGTGAGTGTGGTAATATTTGGAGCCCATATCTCTGACGAGATGGTGGAGACAGTCTGCGCCAGAGGTCCACGTACTTTGTTGTAATTCTCAGAAAGATTACACCAACAATAATGGATTGTCTATCTAAAGGCTCAGTTTGCCACAAAAATACAAGCACCAGGCTTTGCTGGCACTCCTTTACACCACCAGTGAGAGTGATCAGACAAACAGACCAGAGAACGTGTTACATTTCAAGTAAGGTGCTCAGTTCTCACCTTTGTAAAGAGGGAAACCTTCTTGTTAGTGTTACAAGTCCCCGCTTGCTGTGTCCATGCTGCTGAATTTCACTGTTTACTAAACCTTATGTATAAAAGCTTTGAAACAGTCTAAGAGAATCAAACTGCAGATTTGTCTCGTCTCCTGTCTGGAGTCAAAATCTCATCAAAGCACTGACGTGTATTTGCATTTGGAAAAAGAAGTGTGGTTTGCAGCTGCGGGTATGAGCTACATGAGAGTGAGCGAGTGAGGTGTGTCTTACCGTAACTTCTTGACATTTTTCTCACTAATCTTGACGTAGATGATGATTGGGTAGATGTCTCTCCGTAGAAGGTCTTTGACACAGCTCAGCTCAGCCTCCAGAAGGCAGTGTTTGCCCTGGTGACGGGTGGAAAAACTAGTTTAACTGAAAAATACAGAACTTGACTCTGTAGTGCAGACATGTGCTGACATGACTGAACATACAGACAGTTGACAAATGAAAGGTCCTGATTGATCTGTTTGTCCCCAGAATGTCAGCCACTGGGAAAAAGTCCCACTGTGACTCTCCAGAGCCAAAGGTGGCGTCTTCACACATCTCGTTGTGTCCAACCCACAGATCCACAGAGACTCAGCTGATTCTCATGTCTGACAAAGAAAAGCATCAGCTCCTCACATTAAAGAAGGTGGAACCAGAACATGTCGGTGACTGTTGCTTCTAAATAGCTGAGGTTCATTTTCTACCAGTGAACTGACTCATGGCTGCAGCTCTAGGTCACTGAATGGCTTCATGAGGACGACACAGCGGGTCGGACACAGTGAGAGGATCTGGTTTGGAAGGAGGACGTTTCCTGACAAGGTTCTGGAGACTCGGCCCTGACACTGTTTAGCACAACAGCTATAGATATGCGCAGAACACCTCACAAACTATACTGTATCATGATGAAATATTTATTTTTCAGAGGGTATATTGACTGAAGATCAGCTTTAGAAGCAAATAGTGACACTTTTCACATCTTACAAACAAAAGCACAAACGTAATCAAGAGTCAGAAAATCACAGGTTCCCCTCTGTGGGCTATAGATAAACACTTATTAAATGAAATGACAATTTATCAATGATGGAAAAAACTCAAATGTGAACAGGGTGGCATACAAAGGTGTCAGGATTAAATGAACAATTTGACATTTTGCGGAATTGTGCTTATTCACTTCCTTGCTGAGAGTTAGGTGAGAACACTGACACCATGCTCACACCTGTGGGCAAATATAATGCTAGAGTCAGCAGCTAATGTTAAAATAAAGATCAGAAACAGCGAAACAGCTGACCTAGTTTTGTCGAACGGTAACAGGATCCACCCACCTGGCCCCTAAAGCTTACTAATCAAAACCTGCCTTTTGAGAAAGACCAGCTGTTTTCATCAGTTTTTATGCTAAGCTAAGTTAGCTAGCTGCAGATGTGAGAGTTGGATTTTAGTCTATTTTATGAAGTCCTTTTTTAAGAAACAAGCATATAAACGTGTGTGCACACACTCTTTAATAAGAGCCTACCTTGGCAGCGACGGCCTCTATGTTTTCTCTGGTGATGCACTCAAATGTGGTGTGTTTCTCTTTGTAGTGAATAAAGGGCTCCACATTCTGTTTGAGGTGGAACTCATCTTTGGACAGGGTGTCTACATGGCACAGCAGGAAAAAAAAAAAAACTGAGTTCACATGTTAATGATCACTGCTGTACATTTAGCACAAGAGGAACAGAAACGTTTTCGCCCTAGTGAATCTCCACATAATCAAGACATCTCACAGCTTTTTGGTTGGCCAGATGTGCAGCTCTGTCTGGGAGCATTTTGTTTGTCATGGTAGTGCGGTGTTACTTCTCTGTGGGTTCATAGTACTAGCAACTTTTCCAGTTCAGTTATTTTGCTTTAAAATATCCTTAAATGGTAATTTAAACTCCTCTGTGGCATTGCCTTCTTTATGCATCATCATCCTCATTATCAACTAGGCCATCTTCTGTCCTTCCCCTGCTGTCTCTCTGGATACACACGCCTTAAGATTTACACAGCACTGTGGTATAATACCTGACCTGAATCCCAGCAGTAGCTCCATTCTCTCTGCTTCTCCCCTTGAAACTAGTTGTTATCCACTGTTCACAATAGGTGAACACACTGGGGGTGTGTCAACAAGATTTCAGAGACACTAGGGTGGCATGTGTTTATTCCAGCCATGAACCGACCTGGTTTGCAGATGTTGAAGTCCATCGCGCCGCCCATGTTAAGTATTTTCTGGATGATGGTTTTGGCTAAAGCAGTGGGGGTGAACAGCACCGGCCTTCTCCTCTGGGTCCTCTGGGGCGTAACAGTACTGTAGGCAATCAGGTTCAAACTCCTGCTCAGCTCGCTGTCCGGGTCAGCAGTGTCTGTTTACAGCCAGGTTAGCAAGCACACAAAGAGAGTCACACACAGTGAAAGGAAGACAAGGTGGTTTAAAGGTTTTATGAAGCAGATAATTAGTTTAAATCACATGAAAGCCAGACAAGGGGTTTATCTACTGTGGTCACCATTTTTCAGAGCTTCCAACTTCATTAAACTTCATACTATAAACTTCATTTGATCTTTAAAACGTTGAGCTCTCTCAGTACATTTATGCATCTATTCATATTTTTGATATTCTGATTTTTCCTCAAGGTGTTTTACGCTTTCAAATGAACAGTTGGGAAATTCTGCCCATCAGAATATTTCAGCTCCTGTTAAACAGAGTCATGCACATTCACACTTAATGTTCATTCACTTAAACCAGGCTCCATACTTTATCATATTCCTTCATACCTTTCATAGTTTTTTCTGCAATCACAGTTGAAGTTTTTGTCTGACCCTCTGAGTCTCATGTACTGGCCTCAGCTGACTCCAGACCAATTCCTATTTACTATTTGGTGCACTATTTACTGTCCAACATTTTATTTGAGTCTCTGAATTCTGGGTGTGTAAATCTAATCACTATACTGTTACCTCAAAAATTTCAAAATAAAAGCCTTTGCTCCTTTCTACTAACAAGTCAGTGCTGAGCGATGGCAAACTGCATTTTAACACTTTCAGATGTAAATTTTAACAGCAACTACAAGCAGCATATAGTTTCTAGTTTCTTGCACCTGCTGAGTTTGGAGACTTTCAACCTGAAGTTTAGGAGCAGGGCACGCCTGAAGCTCACACCCCTTCCTCTCCCAGTCATATTTAAACCACCAACAAAGACTCACTTCCGCTTTCACTTTTCGTAACCCTCCCTCGCTCTTTTTCTGCATTTCTATATCCTCTCTCTTTCCCCTTTCATGAAGGGGGTCCTTCAGTACCTGATAGCTGCGTGGACCCCGAAGCCTTTCTCCCACAAACCACAGTTCATAACTAAGTCTACACCAAGCACCATTGTTGTTTCATACACTGACGACGGGCCCTAGCTAGTGAATGGAGCTGTGTCTCCTCTACAACATTTTGGACTCACCTTCTGGTCGAAGCGTCTCAAAGCCGTGTCTGGGTAGTGTCGTGCTGCCAGAGTTGATGATCCTCACACGCTCGTTGCTGTTCATTCGCTTATATTTGATATCCACCCTGCTGACAAACTACATGGGGGCACGTTACTGTAGAATTAGAGCTTAGTTTAATATCACACATTCATTTTAGGAAAACAGCTTGGTGCACAATCCTGCACATTAATTTATTATATTTTCTTCTGCATATAATGCAGGATTAAGAGATGATATTTATGTCACAGGACATCTGAGCCTGCAGGAGGTTTGTATTACCTGTAGTATCTGAGTGAGGAAGATGCTGGCTCTAGACAAGCGTGGACTGGCTTTAGAGTCAGATAAGGAGTTGGTTTCTTCTGGCTGCAAATTGGTCTGCACAGATACATACAGATAACTTGTATTTCAAACACTCTGACAAGCAGTTAGTTGAATCACAGGGGCTGTGGAGGACGCAATGTAAGGCACAATTCTGACTTAATGCAGAATTTATGAAATAATGAACAACAAATTACAGAAAGAAAAGAAAATGACAGGGATATAAGAGTAAAACCTGCAGTATGATACTAATTATGGAGAAAGTAAACGTACCACAGGGGCTTCAAGTCTTTCTACAACATGACATCATCCGGCCAATGTGTTGGCCAATCACATACGTGCATGTTCCTGGTAAACTGACCAGTGAAAGTTGGACACTCCTCTCCACAGCTGTTACTAGACACTGTGCTGTGTTTTGGCATCTGTTAAGCTTCAAACACATGAATCTGTTCCTTCAACTGGGCTTCCCACATCACTGTCTCACAACATCGCCCCCAAATGTCTGAGTGCAGCCTTAGACCACCAGTGAAGCTTACAAGGCCTTGAGGAGACCTACGAACACACCTGGTCAGTCTAAATGACTTTACTTAGCGTTTTTCAGTTTTTGCCCTTTGTACAATGACCTGTTGACCTTGTCTGTCTGAAATTACTTCCTATTTTACTATGTATATTGTGATCTAGTTTTACTGTTGAGAATTCCATATGTAAAGTATGTGTACTGTATAATTCCCCCAAAAGTGTCCACTGTGCTTTAATCCAACAGGAATGTGTTTGTACATTAATGTCACATATTCAAATATATGAATATGATTTTTTTTTATGTCTCAGTTTAAAAAAAAGAGACTAGAGTTGAGAAAGCTTCTTACTCTACTGTTGCGGCGGGATTCGCTTTCTTCTTTCCCCCCTCGACACACAAATTTCTGAATCTTTACCAGGAGCAGCTGCTGGGCCCTGCACACACACACATATAAAAGTCTTCATACATTTGTTAAATTCATTATTTTGGCACAATAACAAAAGTAAACAGAATATATAGGAATATTTAAGGGTCTGTCTCAAGCTGCTTCCTGTGCTTGTTGTGTGTCAGGTGTGAACATGTGCAAAGGTTTGACTGTGTGTGTGTGTGTGTGTGTGTGTGTGTGTGTGTGTGTTGCTCTGTTAGAAGGATGAGTGAAATTGAACATCCTGAACACAGATGCAGACCCTTCAACTAGTAAACCTCGCATGGTTGCTCAGCTGTTACAGCACTTTTGCATCGTGCTCCAGGTCCTGAAGACCTAAAGCAGAACACATGCATGGTACTCACTTACTCCCAGCATTTAAATGGCCTTTGACAACATGCTGGTTTGTAACATGTGCTTTAAACACACAGGCCTCCAACAAGAGGCTTCATCTGGCTCTCAGCCTTTATGTCAAAATAACAGAGCTTTGAGTTTTAGAAGAGCTGCTCTGTACCGTGAATTGCTGGGTATGGTGCCACGGTCGGGCAGGTCGTTGCCGGTGTAGGGGTCGACACGGGAGCACAGCCACTCACAGTGGCCCTGGTGCCTGGTGTCTAGGACGTGCACCACCTCGTCGCAGCGCACGCTCAAGGAGCAGCTATCTGACTGGCCAGAGATGTTGAGGTTGACTCGTATGTAGAAGGAGTCGCCAGAAGCCAGCGTGCCATCCACCATGTCCCTCTGAAGACGACGGTAAGCTGAAACACACACATTTGAATTGACATAATATGCATAAATAGGTATGTACAGGTCGAACAAAAACAACACTTACAGTCGTGGTTGGCTCGATAGTGCAGCTTGATGGGTCCAGAGCAGTGCTGCAGGGTCCAGTGGGCTTCTTCCTGAGTGCTGGCATCCAGAGAAACACTTTGGTTTTCCCCACGTATGCAGCCCTCAAGCTGGACAGCCGATCACAGCACAAGACAGAGGAGTGAGCATTTGTGTTTTTGGTCTGTCATGTTTAAAATAGGTCATTAAATACACTGGATTGCTGACTGTTAAAAAGCAATCTCAGCATTTTTTCTTCTGAAACCATCCATGCACATTCTAGGTTCTTGTTGGGTTTGTATTTTTACAGCCAGTAACTGAACAGAAACGTGCTTCACTGAGCGTTTACTCGTGTTACAGTCTATGTGGAGCTGGAGTTTAACCCATGCACTGAGCAGACTACACACCAACAGGAGGTGGTGGCCCTCTCGTAGCCCCGCTTTCTCGGCGATGGACCCCGACTGGACAGCGGAGACGAAAATCCCGCTGTGGTTGCCACCGACCAGCGTGATGTCCTTCAGCAGGTTGTCTCCTAGCAACGACAGGTCCTGCGCTGGCTTCGAAGACGAGTTGATCCTGGAGAAGGAGGACAGAGACGGACGGAACGGCCTGCACACAAGACGTACACACAAACAAGTGTGAGAGTGAACAGTGACAGATGTTTGTAGATATGTCTGACTTGCGATGATTCTTGTGCACGGGAGTCTGTACTGTACCTCTCCAGAGAGAGTTTCCTGAGGATATTGTTGACCTGCTCGAGGTCATAAGTGTCCATCCCTTCTGACTGATGGGAGGAGGAGGATGAGTGGACAGAGGGAGGACCACGCTGCACCTCATCCTCTAAGGAAAGAACAGACAGAAAGAGAAAAGAAATGGAAGAGAAACTATTAATGAAAAAAGGTAAATACAAACATTCACATCAACACCACCATCAGTGCAATTCCGGCCAATGTGTAGGAGTATTCTTTACCATATTCCGTTTCCATGTTGTCACTGTCAAAGTCTGAGAGGCTGAAAGAGACCAAAGAACGTTGCACATGACCATGACATGATAAAACCAACTGATGGACATCACATCGATTCACTGACGTGCAGTCTGGTGTGACGCTGTGACTACCTGCGGGGGTGGAAATCGTGTTCCCTCTCTCGCTCTCTTCGGTACAGCGATGCTTTCTCTGGCGGCTCGGGGAGGATGGACAGGATGCTGTCGTTACGATAACGCAGCTGCGAGAACACATGACAGCAAGACATGACCAAACACAGCACTGCGGTCTCCTAGTAAGAAACGTATGCATCATTTTCCTGTGGTCCTCACCATAGCCGGCCTGTTGCACTGCTCCACCATGGTGAGGGGGATCGGTATGGGAGAGGGGCAGGAAGAGGAGAGGGGGGGCGCTGAGGTCTGAGGGTATGTGGGAGAAATTGGGAAGATGGGGGAGGGAGGGAGCGAGTTGCTGTTGACTTGTGGATTTGGCATCTGAATCTCCAGGAAAGCTACTCCGTTGACTGACAGAGATGGAAACAAAGGTGAAAGCTCTTCCACAACTAAACTACAGTTATGGTGCAACAAACAGTACGACTGCATGAGGTGAGAGTGTGATTACCTGCAGGCTGAGTGGCCTCTGGGGTGCTCTGAAGGTCTCTGTGTGCACATACTGGAGATTTCACTCTGTTCTAAAACACAAAACGTTAACATTCTTTGAATTAGAGTGAACAGACATTTTATTTAAAGCCTTTTATTGACACCACACACATCCTCCCACCACAACCTTTACTGTTCCTCCTACTTGCATGCATACAACATTACAGTGCTCTTAAATTTAAAAGCATTCCAGAGGCTTCTTGGTTTTTTTGTGTTTCCCTTTCAAACAGTTCCCTCTTATTTCATACCTATTTATAAATTAGAAATATATTAGAGTTGTTTTCACATGTAAACTGCGGAGAGAATAAGTCCTAGTCAGTGTTTAAGAATTTCTGTCTGAAGTAACATTTCAGTTGTGACCAGGTCAAAATGGTGGCAGCAGGTTGCAGTGTGGAAAGGGTTAAATCAGAAATATAAAACATCACTGAGTAAAATGTTTGAGTTTTTATGTTGATGTAGAGAAAAGCCTTGTCTCTGATTGGCTCTTATTGCTCAGAACATACATGTGACTAATCACCTGAGAGCTGCACTTCAACATTTCTCTTAAGAGACTTTAATACTTTAAGTACTTTAATAAATGTGTGGCACTGTGTTAAAAAAGAAATGTTTTACTCCGGTTTTCTTCTTAGATGTTTGATAAAATGCGCCCTGGCCTTCGCTATAATGTTCCATAAGTAACTAAGTGGTGGGCAGTAGCTGACCGTTGCTTTAAGGTTAGGTCTGCGTTTGAGTCGAGGCTCCTCAGAAAAGAACTTCTCCTCTGGTGACTCATCGCTGGACCATTCTGATTGGCCCGGACCAGCTTTAAACTCCTCCCCCTGGGAGATGATGGCTCGAGGCAGGTCCCTGGGCAGGCTCTGTGAAAACAGACAGGAAAAAAAAAAGTATGAAAATTTCATGCAAACATCAGCAGCTTATTGAAATGAGAACAAACGGCATCAACGCTGCTGTGTCCAACCTGGTCGGGGGCGATGTCCTTGGACAGCCGTCGCAGGCGAGACTCCAGGGTCACCAGTTTGGCTTCTTTGCGCACGATCTCAATGTGGAGTTCGTCGCTCTTCTCCTCCAGCTCTCTGATCTGCTTGCGATATTTGTCTTTGTCGATCAGACTCTGGGAGAACTGGTGCTGTGCCTCGTCTCGGGCTCGGAACGCCTGGAAAAGTGCAACAACAAAATATACTCGCAGAGTCAAACACAGACAAAATGTGAATGATTGCAAAACTATCTGGAGTGAATGTGTTTGCTTTCACCTGGTCCCTCTCCTTCTCCACCTCCTCCAGCTGTATGGTGATGGTGTCCATGCGGTTGCGATACATCTCACAGTCCTTCTGTAGTGTGGAGCACTTCAGCTCCAGCTCCTCCTTCTCCTCCAGGTACTGCACACACACACACACACACACACACACACACACACCACAGAAGGTTTTTATAGTTTATTTGACTGAAAATGCAGATACAGGAAGAGAAACAAAGAGGGGAAGAGAGAAGGCCAGATGGTCTCACAGTATTAGGATTTCAGGTCATGGGTTTGTGTTTCTAGGATGTGTTTTTGCAGACCTAGGTTTGTTCCCACTCCGACTCAGCATCACATTCATACTGGTCCACACTGGAACAGGTGACCACTTCCCTAACTCCCACATGCTTCACATCCATGGTGAATATGTACTTACTGTGTGTGGGTGTGTGAGACCTTGTTTTTCTGAAGTCCGTGAGTTACTATCGGTCCTCATGTCATAGTTCATCAAATGTTATGAGAGCGATGAGGTGTGAGGTTAGCTTAAGTTAGGGTAAGTCTCCTGTAAATGAATGTAAGTCTATGTAGGGAGCTGGTAAATGATGAACCCAAGGATGTGTGTGTGTGTGTGTGTGTGTGGGTCTGTTACCTTATCTCTTAGTTCCTCTGCTTGTCGAACTTCTTCGCGTAGGTTGTAGAGACGGATGACCAGATCCTGTCTGTCTTCTAATGCTTCCTGTCTGTCATGCTCCAAAATATCAAGAATGGCCTTGTCTGACTCGGGCAAAGGCCCCGGCTGTGTGAAAAGAAAGACACACGTTGTTGGGCAGGAGCCTTGTGCAGCTGGCAGCTGGATGGTTTATACTGAACAGGGCTCCTGTAAGTGTGAACAGTATCTAGAAGTACGACATTAACATGAGAAGACTCTGCAGCTCCCCTCAAGTCCGCAGAGCATTTTAACCTCTTTCAGCTCGTTGTGGTTTTAGGTCCCATAACTTTACGGTTTTGGGTCACTCTCACCTTTAGCTTGTACTGCTGTGAAGTAGCTAAAATATTGCATTAATACAGATTTACATTGTGAGAGGACTGTGATGAGGTTTCAGGTAGTTGTGTGCTCTACATTAATATGTATGTACACAAGATATTAGTAGAATCTTAAATTTGTCTTCGTCTTGTGCACAGGAAACCAAATTAACAAGCAGAGTGAAAAATACTTTGTACAATGTACCAAGGCAGTCGTGTTCCTGCACATCTTGATATCACAGGCCGAAGCATTAAAGAGCTGTGAGACAGAGCTCAGAGGTGCTCCACTGCCAAATCAGGGCTCTCACTTGCTGAAAAGTGACTGCCGTGTTTTAAGCCAGAATGGTTTTACCAGCATGCTGCAATCACGGCAGCAGGATGTGCAGTCGGACTTGTCAAGCTTGGCTCCAGGCAAAACGAGCAGATTCTTAAGGTTGCTGTCCACACAGATGCTGGTTACTGAACCTGTGTGCATGTGAGTATGTGCACATGAGGCAGGCCCTACCTGTATGATGGACTGCAACTCCTGTAGCTTGATCCTGAGCATCTCGTTCTCTCTCTCCAGCTCAAAAATCTGCTCTCTCTTTGGCCGGTTCTCAATGTCGTTCTTCAGCTTGAGGCTTTGCCTCCTCTCCATCTTACATTCCTCCTCCACCTTGTTCAGCTTGTGCTTCAGCTGATCGATCTGTGCACACAGAGAGGGCACAGAAGCAATGATGAGTTACAGACAGGCTCCCTGATCGATGCTCACTGGTAATGTTTGATGCTACCTCGAGCTGCAGGTCTCGGCTCCTCATCACTGCCATGTTCTTCTCCTCGCTCAGCGTGGCGTACCTCATGGCCAGCTTGTAGTTTTCATCCTTCACTCTCAGCAGCTCATCACTGTAGGTGTTTCTCTCTTCCCTCAACTTATTGTATCCTGGAGAAACAGCCACAGCCATTTAAAATAATAGGTCAGTGTTGTCCTGCTGCACACACACTGGAATATTAACAGCTAGCTGCAGCAATCATCACCGGTTGTATAAAATTATTATGCTTTTTGCTTTTTAATACTAAATAGATTGTAATCATGTATTCTATTTCCCTATTTTGCATTTTATGTGGTTGCTTTGTGGTTTCAGGACACTTGCCAAACAATAAACAAGCAGCTAAAAATACAACTGATACAGGATCTTAAACTTTTTCCATTCTGAAGTGTTGAAACGCTGAAGTTCACAGTTTCCTTTTTGTTCTGTTTTCTTCAGCATCTCATTTCACTGCTGGCTGTCTGTTTCCTGCATAAATTGATCATGAAATGTGATCTGATCTTCATCAAAGTCACACATATCGACAAACACAATATTTCTAAGGTGATAAAACACAAACAGTCATGATCTTTCATGCGTTTATTAAACACACCCACTAAACATAGTGGAAAAAGCCATGGCAACGCCAGGCTTCTGATGTCACTAAACGTCAACTGGAGTCAGGTGTTAGACAACGAAATGAGAAGGAGGTGCGGTGAAGATGAGATCACTTTTCATAACCAATTTATGCAGAAAACCAAGAACAATGACGTGGCTTTTTCTTGCAACTGTATTTTCAGAACTAGAGAATGAGTCAGGTAATAGTTGTAAACGTCGGGAGGGGCAGATTAAGGATGACAACATTTAGCAAACCGTCTCAGTTGCCAGGCCAGCTACAGCAGCAGTACTCTCAATTATTCTCTGTATGTGTAAGAACATGAAAGTAGGTGGTGTACCAGCTGCAGACTTTAACTACACAGGACATGACAACAGGTACCACAGAGTCCTAGTTTTATGACTAGACTTTGGTAAACAATGCAACTGGCCTTAATAAACTCAACTGTGGTGCAGCTTCAGTGCATGGTGGTTTGGTTTTATTATCATCACTGTTTGAAATATTGAAACGTCGGGGTCTTGTGTGTCTTGATCAGTCAATATGGAAAATAATAACATGTGTTGTTACTCTGTTGGAAGGCCTGCAGCTCCTGGTTGGCAAGTCTGAGCTTCTTCTGCTCGTCCTCCAGCGTGCAGTTCTTCCTGGTGAGCTCAACATGCTGCAGGGTCTTGACTTTGGACTGCTGCTGCAGCTTCATCACTTCGTTCATCAGGAACTGGGTGAGACCCTCATGACCCTCCTCCACTTCAGACAGCAGGGAGAGAAGACACACACACACCACAGACTGTAACATACTATATTTAATGTACAACAGGATTTGGATAAACTTCAAATTTTCATCTAAACCAGTTGAACAAGATCCATGAAGTGTTGTAGGATAAGACTATGACTGTGATTGTTCCTAGCTACAAAACCAGCTTTTCATTTCAAATGGCAGTTAAATGTGTTTCTTTTTTTTAATCTAGTTATTCAATAATTAAAGTTACTGTTCATAAAAAGGTGGGAATATGTTCAAGAGTGCCAACTACTTTTTGTTTATCTCTTTACAGAGACTAAAATGAATCAGTGGTTGCTTTAGTTCAGAGTACACTGTATTGTAATAAGTAATGTGTCTGTACAGTAGAGTTACATCAACGTGTGTGTCTCACCGACAATGGTGGATATGCGTCGTGTGGGCTCCTTCCCTGTGACCAGTTTGTACAGGTCAGGATAGTAAAACTCCAGGCTCTCCAGAAACGCAACATACCCTCGCTCTCCTTTAGTGTGGAGGATGTCAAGTAGACGGCCTGATGGAGAATTGATTAACTCACTTTGCATTCATCGCACAAAAACACAGTAACACCTACTTGTTACAAACTGCCTCGATCTTATTTCACCGTACAGCGTCAATAAAGAGAAACAAACTATGACCCCCAGTCATTTAGTCTTTGTATTAGCAGAGAACCAGATCATCACTGGATTATACCCTGGGGATAAAAAGCTGTTGGAGAGAGACCTCACTATGAAGACACCAACACACACACGAGTTTCTCCCTACTTGTGCGATTTGCTTTGGAGACCAGCAGCATGGAGTTGAGAATCTCATCTTCATCCTGTTCATCCAGGACTTTGCACTGGCGCAGGTAGGGGGTGAGCTTTGCCGGGGAAATAGAGCTGCACAGTTCGTACCGTTTGCACTCCACCTTCTCCCACAGCTCCTCCACATCATTAGGCATCCCACAAGTCCCGTTCTCCATCTCCCTGAAACGTAGTAAAACCAAAACAATTCAAAAACAGCAGCTCTGCAAGAACTTGAGAATCTGGTTCTGCTTCCTCTACCAGCTGGATTGAGCCAGTTTTCCTCATAAACACCTCTCACAGAGGCTGAGACTACAACCTACAGAGGCACCCTGTCCTTTAAGAATCGTGACAAAGGTCAAACGCTCCTTTAACTTACATAAAGATTCATATACATAAAGCATCTATGGCATTAACATGCTGTAACATCAACATAATGTGACGACCGCTGGCTCGGTTGAGAGGAGCTGGCCTGACCTTGTCCTATACTGGACAGTTAACTAGCCAGCAGTGTGCCGGCACCTGGCTCAACAAGGAGGAGAACACCTGGTTTGTCTTTTTGTGGTTTTATTGAACGCAGTATGGAGACAAATGAAAACGCTGTCCGAACTGGCACCATGTGCTCTCTCAAAAAAATAATAAAAGAATAAATAACACATCTCCCAGAACTTCACCATCGCCCGCCAACAGAACCAAACCAACACGCCCACCTGTCATCCCTCTTATTCCCTTCCGCACCTGTTCCTCATGGAGACAAATGAAAACGCTGTCCGAACTGGCACCATGTGCTCTCTCAAAAAAATAATAAAAGAATAAATAACACATCTCCCAGAACTTCACCAGCGCCCGCCAACAGAACCAAACCAACACGTCAACCTGTCATCCCTCTTATACCCTCCCGCACCTGTTCCTCCCCCCACCCCACATTGGCCAGAACAGCGTGACATTTTGCAGACAACGGCGGTAACCAGTACATGAACAGCCTTCAATAACATTGTCAAACCCATTCGCACACAACAGAACACATGAACATCAGCGGCCGGTGTTTTGTCAGATTTTGCTACCTATCAAAACGTGCTACCCACCGTTCACAAAGTGGTTAGGGTTAGGGGGATACAGAGGGGACGGGGGGGGAGGGGTGAATGGTGGATGTCGTGGTTATGTGGCATGTTTTCTTTTTACTTATTGGTCAACATATACACCGATCAGCCATAACATTACGACCACCTGCCTAACACTGTGCACACAGGCGTCAGTGCTGCAGTTGGTTGGACTCATGTCAGATGTCAGTGAAACACTTATGTTAAAGGTGTGAAAACCGTTAGAAAGATCATTTTAGACAACTTCAACAGCCCCGACAATAACTTCAGTTTAGTCCGATTTTAGAAATAAGAAATTACAGGTCATCCAGGCCTTTATGTTTTAAGAAAGGCTTGAAGTTTGACCAGCTGATCTGATTCATCTGGGTTCATAGATAAATATAACTGAGTATCATCTGCATAGCAATGGAAATTTGTTTCCTGATAATATTGCCTAAAGGACCTAGCACAGAGCCCTGTGGAACGCCATGACTAACTTCAGTCTGTGTGGAAGATTCATCATTAACATGAGCAAATTGGAATCTATCTGATAATAAGATTTGAACCAACTTAGTGCAGTTCCTTTAATCCCAATAACATGTTCAAGTCTCTGTAGTAAGATGCTGTGATTAATGGTGTCAAAAGCAGCACTGAGATCTAAGAGGACAAGTATGGAGACAAGTCCTTTGTCTGAGGCTAGGAGAAGATCATTGGTGACTTTCACCAATGTGGTTTCTGTACTATGATGGACTCTAAATCCTGACGGAAAATGAATGTTCACTCACTTCAGCTGACAGTGGTCATAATGTTTTGGCTGAGCAGTGTACACCAGTACTGATGTAATGAACTAATGGCTTTATCATCCTGGCTGATTTGTCAGTCCAGTTCTAATGGTGAACATGGAAAACAATATACCTGCTAAACAGCTAAACAGCAGAATGGCAGCACCGTCACTGTGAGCATGTTAGAATTTAGTATAAGAGTAAAAAATGCAAATACAAACCAGATTGCTGATAAAGTACATACAGTATATAAATGCATAAAAACAAATCACATGGTGATGTGACCAGCAAGGCCCTGTGTAGGATGTTGATTTGCACCTATTGCACCCTCCACTACCTCGATGTGAACAAGTCAGGGTGGAAAAAAACCTGATCACTATGAACATGATCATCTCTGCAGCAAACCTCACTGAACTTAGACTGGCTTGTGCTCTGGGTGATGATTTGCATTTACTTCTATGATCATTTATGATCATAGAACCAGTGATCATAGGCTTCATGCAGCAAAACAAACAGACCCAGAGTCAGTTTTTGCTCATTTAGTTCCCACACATTCTCTGCTTCCTCCGTTTCCCTCAAACACTCAAACCAACTGCCATCTTTCCACTTGCCTTTCCTGTCTTCTGACTTTTCCAGAGACTATTTCTGCTTTTTTTTTATCTTTCTCTTCCTCCCACTTGGTTTTCTCATTTCTCTCTCCCTCACACGCACACACTGTCCATGTGTGTTTGGCATTTGCATGCTGTCGGGCCAGTAGGTGTTATCCTATAATCCTGCTTTGTGACCTGCAGGCAACAGTTAGGCAAATCCTGGGTATCTAATGCCATTGCGCTTGTAAACACGCAGTCGCACACACTTTTGCATTCCACTGTCATCTGCACTGTGCATGTAAAAATTTCAGCTCATGCTTTTATACCACACAAACACACATACAGATAGTAAAGTGAAGGTAAAGGATGCACATGCAGCGTCAGCTTTGCTACATTTCGACATTACTGTCAGTCTGTGAAGGACTGTGAAATTCAGCTCCTATTTGTTTGATATTATTTATTGATCCTCAAATCTTTGTGCAGCTAATTTTTGAATGCAGTCAGACACAGATGCACACATCACACCCTCTCAACATTTGGAGTTATAATCTGTATCTGCAGGGTGTATATTCTGCCACAGTCACAGCAGATGACAAAACCACAGGTGCTAAGACCAACACGCACGCATGCACTCATGCAGAAGATCACAGTGCATGCAGACACACCAACACACACACAGACCCCTCCACTCACCACATACATGTTTCCTTTTGTCTCTTCTCTTATTTTTGAGTTCATTACCGAGAAAGCTGTTCCTTGCTTCCTCCTTTTCAAACCAGATGTGAGAAGTAGCTCTCTTCCTCTCTTCTCTTTTAGTCTCCTCAGTCAGGCATTTTTGTTTATAGTATTGTGGTCAGGGGAGTTTGTCTTTTTTAGAGCAGCGTAGGTGTGTATGTGTGTCCTCAAATTATGATTCGCATTTTCCCTTTTTCTCAGCAACTGCAGGCTTCAGTCATTCAGACACACAAACGTGCTGCTGCAGGACTCTGAGTGCTTGTTTACCACAGCCTTGTTCTGCCTTTATGTGTCTCCCATCCTTATGGACTACCCGTGATAACATTAGATGGTCATTGTGCTAATGGTAGTCAGTCAGTGTGAGCGGCAGACTTTCTCACCTGTAGCTAAGACCCAAAGAACGCTGACCAAGCTACCTGAAACTCCTGTAGTCAAGGCATTTGAATATTACTGAGTAATATCAAGGGACCAGTAACAGCGAGTAAGTTGTAACACTGCCAGTTTGAGCTGTCAGAAAAGAGCTGCGGTGATGAAATCCCTATCATAAGTTCACGTTTTCTTTTTGGGCTGGCAGGAGAAGCGGCAGGTCTCTGTGAGCAACACTGTGGATTTTATGGGCAAAAAACTAAATCTGATGCTTTACGTTCAGGCTAACTATTAGCTACTGTTAGCTAATAGGTTAATAGGCTGCTTAGGGTGGGACTGGTCATAACAATGCATCTTCATATGACTGTCCTCTTATCCCCTGAAGCCCAGTGGCTGAGAGATTCTGACACCTCATGTATTGTGTGCATAAACATGCAAACTCAAGGCCAAAGGAAGTGTGGGTCAAGTAAGTACATTGTCAATTCAGGGTCCACAAACCGTGCACTTCAGGGCAGCCGTCTCACATCTGTGACACTGAGTGAACCTATGTTACACATGCACATTCTGAAATACAGACTCCCACACACACACACACACACACACACACACACACACACACACACACTCATCCTTGTATTTGTCACTTTTCAGGTCTTTACACTGACTTAGATCATGTTCCTAGGGACTTACCCTAACCCTTCCCCTAACCACTATGTGCCTAAAGTGCCTAAACCCAACCCTTAGTGTTTCTGTCCCTTTAAATTGTTCACATTATTCAAACTGATCATTCTTTATTATTCAATAAAATTCTTGCATAAATTGGATAGTGTGGATATTATTTCAGGAAAATACATCTTGTTGTTACACCCATCCCCAGCTAGTGTTACAGCCTACCCCTTTTAACAACAGAACTCTGTGTTTCACATTAACTCACATAATCTGTGATTGCATGGTCTTTGTCCAAGTGAGTTTTATTTGTAGTAGACAAATATTGGTACCATGTATCAAAGTTTGAGAGATCTAACATGAACAGCCACGGAGTTAAGGATGCTCAAACAGAAGGTGGTACGGTCATCCCTGGTCTCCCCTATTGCTACTGTGTCGTTCGGCTCTTTTTCGATTGGATGAGCACAATCGACAGTTTGATGCACTTAAAATGGATTCTGTTTGAAAATGCATCATTACAGCCAAAGGTGTGTACTTGCAGTGTTCTGTCAGTGCAACATGGACCCCACATCATTCTGTCCTATATCACATGCACGTTATCAGAAATGAAGTCAGTTATGAACTTTCTACTGTCGTCTGCCGTTATGTAATTCAGACTGGGTGTCAAACATGTAGCACAGAGTTTATGAGAATTTTCTCTGTGTCAGGTAATAAAAATACTGACTCCACAAAGAAGCAAAATGACTTTGAAACTGTGCCACTGATGGTGTTTCTGGACCTCTGCATGTGTAGAAGAGTATAACTACATGTGCTTTTACAACTGTGAGCACCAACAGGCTTTACTCAGGATGGCAAGAACAAAGAAAGTGTGAGAAACGTAGGTGTTTTATGTCACCTCACTCTTCTTCATGTTTCCACCGCTTTTTGATGGTTTTACAAAAAATGTAGTACACCAATAAATATGCAGCCATGTGAAAGCCATGGTGCTGTGTGCATATAAACAGATTGGCTCATACTTTCCTATTTGACTGCACATTTTCCTGTTCTGAATGGACGTTTATATAAATATATATATTATGTTCTTGTTGCCTTTCAGAACACACTGTGAGCCTCTGTACCAGAGTCGGATGCTTTGTGTTTTTAAACATACCTGATCAATAAAGCTGATTCTTTTTCACTTATTATACTTTATTAATCCCTGTGGGGATATTTCTTACTGATGGCAGCGCTATCAGTTGCTGCCTGGCCACCAGGGGCAACTAGGGGTTTGGTGTCTTGCCCAAGGACACTTCGATATGTGAACTGGGGAGACCAGGAATCAAACCTTCTGATTCTGATTGTTGGTGTCATGCAGCCACATCTTACTCACATCTGTAACAGACTAGTGTTTGTGTTGTCTATACTCTGCATCTTCTCGTGTTTATTATGCTAATCATTGTATTTGTTTTCTTATCAGTCTGTTTGAATAGTTCACCTTCGTTTGCTGGCACTCAGCTTACTGTTTTCTTTATTACTGCTAGTTCAGTGTTTCAGGGTGACAACAGATGTGTAAAGGGAACATTAAGAAGATTTACAGGCTTGCTATTTTTTGTTTTCATGAATGATGAAGGTTTTAGGGGAAACACAGACTGATTTCCACTGAGCTTCCATCTGATGCATTTTTCTCCACTTGTTGTTCTCTTCATTTAAACCAAACAACTATGGTCTAATACTGTGTGTGACCACCATGTTCCAATCATTTAACAGTAAGTGAAAAGCCTTGATTGTTGTGTTGCTGCGTGTTTACTGTCAGACGAATATGTACACAGACCAGAAACTTGTAAGAACCCAGATCAATGAGTGTGCACCACTGTGACCCAGATTGGTTTTACTCCCAAGCAACTACAGCTACAAGCACACACACCAAGAGTTTATGTCAAATGATGAGACTATCCATGACAATCGAAGGTAGTCGTGTGAAACTGACTGATAGACAGTGTGAGAATGAATGAAAACTAGAGCACAGTCAATCCAGTACAACATCAAGTGGTGCACCAGATTCACTTTGTATTATCTGCCAGCACATTTTTCTGAATCGTCTTTTACTGTGTCAGAAATAAAAGTTTGTCCTCTCTAAGGCTACACAGAAAAAGGCTTCCTCAGGCTGTGTGTGCAAGATAAGGCTCAGTGATTCTGTGGGGTTTCACCCAGGCTGGATTGGGCTTGGCTGCCCCGCTCGCTGATGGGCAGATATGATTGGTTCAGGTGTACAAACATAAAGGTTCCATTGTCCAGCAGAAGTCTAGGGGGATTTGTTGGGTTTTCCCTCTGTAATAATACTGATAACAGTAAGGTCTAGACCTTACTTTGTAAAGTGTCCTGAGATGACTTTTGTTGTGATTTGGTGCTATACAAATAAAATTTGATTTGATTTGATATAGAAATCTGATATCAGTGAAGACAGGGAGAGGATTGGTGGTGGGGGGGGCTGGATGCCATACTCAGCCATTGTATACTTTAGTAATTTCACATAATTTTCATATTTTGTCTGTTTCACATTCTTTACTTAAGTAAAGTAGCAATACTACAGTGTTAAAGTACTCAGGTACAAGTAAAGCCCCTGCATTCAAAATGTTACTAGCACAAAAGTATTAGCATAAAAATATACTTGAAGTACCAAAAGTAAAAGGACTCATTATGCCAAATGGCACATTTGGCATTAATGTAAATCATATTATTGGATTATAATTATTGACGCATGGTTGTGCTCATCGCTAATGCTAAAGGTGGAGTGAATGTTAGACACCTTAATTTGAAGTACTGCTGGTTGAGGATTAATATTTTGTTTATGCTGTATTATTGAAAAGTAAGTTAGATAAATGCAGCGCAGTAAAAACTACATCATATCAGTGTCTCGCTGGCTCTCGCTGTCCTCTGCACCTGCTATTGGAATTTCAAGCATCTTTCTAAAGTCAGATAAAAGCCGAATGATGACAGAACTGCAGCTATTGTGTTACCAGACTAATAATCTTCTTCATGTCCAAGCCAGGAGAATGTCAGTAAACCCAGCGATGCACTGAAAGTAATTGAGTACACTGTACAGAAGTACAGTCTTAAGATATTTGCACTTTACTTGAGTATTTCCATTTTCTCCTACTTCATACTTGGACATCATAACATTTCAGATGCTGCAAAATATTTGTGTGATAACTAAATTCTCAGAATCCGATGAACAAAACACAGTAGAATCATCAGACTTTACTGGTCCCCAATGGGAAACTCACTAGCTACCCAGCAGGCTGTAAAGTACTTCACATTGTAAGTACAGTATATAAGGAAGTTAGCGCCACCTTGACCAGCTGCAACATTAAAGTGATGAACACAATGATGCACCAGTAATTATACTAATCCCATAATAACATATACATTCATGTGAAATGTGCCATTCTGCGTGATGACTACCTTTGCTTTTGGTACTGTACTTTAAATATATTTTGATGCTTTTACTGTAGTATTTTTGGATGCAGGACTGCATTCAACACTGTGGGATTACTACTTTTACTCAAGTAAGTATCTGAATACGTCTTGCACCATGACATTAATGATAAACTGAGAGATGATGCAAACCTGATTCACCACAGTGAGCAACTTCAGCCTAACGATGGTCAGAGAAACGTGCACTTCTTAAAACTCTTGTAAAGTCTAAGTGGCTGGTCTTCGCTCCTATATGTAGTGTCTTCATGACAACTGGGTGACACCCCGCGCGTCTGTGACAGGCTGCCACCGCAGTCGTGATATGTGGCTTATAGTCTATGTCACCGCTGTTTTCCAGTCAAACTGGCGCACGTTTACAAGCCTTTTCAGCAACCTTTCTAACACATATCGTCATTTAAGAACAGATCATCACTTTCTGTACGTGTGTAGTTATTTTGCCTACCTGACGCGCGGTGAACAAGAGGTCCGAAACCAAACTTGGTCACGATGTGGTGCAGCCTGTTTTTGTAGTTTTCTTCTTTTATAATCTCAAAACTGGCTGTTTCGTCCAAAATGCCAGAGGCTCAGGTTGTCTCCATTTATCCAAGAGCAAGAGAAGTTTTAAAGAGGCTGGAGAGCGCATGGGATCTGTGGCCCCGACGCACAGCCTGAGATAAAGACAGACAAACAGAGAGAGAGAGAGGCAGACAGAAAGCGGAGGCGGGCGGTGTGAGTTCAGATGGAAATAACAAGTTGACTGCAGCGAGGTGAGGAAGAGCGCAGGCCTGCAGCCTCTGCCTCACTTTGTGCTCTGATCAGATACGATCACACTGGCCGTATATTGCATTCACAGGTACATTTACTCAAGTACTGTACTGAAGTAGATGTTCTTTACTGGGTATTTTCATCTTCTGTTACCTTTAGTCTGTTTTTACTCCATTGCAATTTACTCACTGCATTTATTTGACACTTTTAGTTACTTACCAGATTCAGATTCCTTATGCAAAATATAATAAAGCGCTCAACTGTTAGGTATTATTATGGATTCATCACCTGGAAGAACATGAAGCGATTAAAAATGGCTCCACCTGTAGCAGCTGTGCTGTTTTTGCTCCAGACCAAGTCACTACACAGTCAAACAAACCTCGGGTCCTTATGTTTAATAACTAGACTTTTTTCTTTGCCATAATTTTCACATTTGAAGGTTTGTTGAACAAACATAAACAAGATTCACGTTCATGTTTTCAACAGTGATAAATTCGGTGGTGTTTAAAATACATGGTTTACTTAGTGGAGTACTTGTACTTTAAACAGCCTACATTTTAATTGCTGTACTTTGTACTTCAATTTGAGTGAATCATTTCAAATAGTACTTTTATATGTACAGTGGAGTAATTTTTTATTTCCCTTTTTAAACTTTTCTTCTTCTTCTTCCTCTTCTTCTTCTTATGACTGTGCTGTTTTGCATTTTGCAACTGTAAGTGTTAGAATTGGAATATAGTGATAATATCTGAGGGGCAGGAACTAGGCTAGCATAGATTTGATAATGTGTCACTTGTTGTTGTTTTTGTTTGTTTTTTGTCATTCTGTAAGTATCTGTGCCTGTCTGAAAAATTATAATAAAAACATTCAACTGCCCCCTCCTTGAACCGCCACCTTATTGTGGTGGAGGGGTTTGAGTACCCGAGTGATCCTAGGAGCTATGTTGTCGGGGGCTATATGTCCCTGGTAGGGTCTCCCAAGGCAAACAGGTCCTGGGTGACGGGTCAGACTAAGAGTGGTTCAAAAGCCCTTTATGAATAGATTAAAATCAAGGACCGTGACGTCGCCCGGCATGGCGCAGCCGGGGCCCCACCCTGGAGCCAGGCCTGGGGTTGGGGCTTGAATACGAGCGCCTGGTGGCCAGGCCTCCCCTCACGGGGCTTGGGCTCTGGAACTTTACTCCTCGAGAGAGGCTGGACTCTCTACTACTCTGGAGTTGCCCACGGTGAGAGGCGGCGGGCTGGTG